TGAAGTTCCCATGAGATTTTGTTTAGGCGTAGTACCAAAAAATAGCCACCGGGTGCCATTGAATTCCATTGAATTTAGTTTCAATTTAGTATACATTCTGCCTTAACAAATTAATACATTTCTGTCCAAATATCAATTCTGTCACAAAATTTGGAACCTTGAGACTCTGACCTTTCTGACAATATCAGTTTTGTCAAGATTAGAAAAGGTTTTGATCATAAATTATGAAATATAATGATGCCCAAAAGGGGAGGAGCCTGATAAAATAAGTACCGTTTCTATGGTAACGCAACATTCAATTATAAAACAGTTTTCACACGATGAATTCTGAGATTATAAGCTTTCAAATGATACCTTATTTATGATAACTACTAAAATATGTGATATAATAAAAAAAGGTCATACAAAATAATATTATATTTTAGAGGATAATAAATATAAATATTATCATTTTTAGAGCATAATATTGTACTATAATTTTTTTTATTATTGAAAAATACTAGATTATATGTTTATTATGAACTTTTAGCATAAAAACAGAAGTTTCAATGATTAAAAGTGGGTGCATCAACTTTTTGTGACAAAGGTCAAAACTTCTGTTATGAAGCAGATTTTTTGAGGTGCACTCTTGTCATAAATTCGTCAATTACTCTTCCTACATAATTTTTAACACAAAACAGGGGTAGAATATCTATTTAGAAGTCTTAGACCTTTCCAACAATATATAATTTGTCATAATTAGATTAAGATTTAATAGAAATATAGTGAAGTAAAGTTAGGCGTCCCGGTACCGGGACGGTGACAGTTAAGGGGTTAACCACTAGATGGCCATAGACCTCCTCTAGAAGCTATTTGCTATTTGACTAACCGAACTATATATCTTTTCAAGTTTTTCCAGTTGGATTCATATCTAAATATTATAAAATCACAATAAAAAAACCTGACAAAATTTAGCATTTTTTTTGCACTTACAAAAGTTTTTCAATAATTTTACATTATGATTAGAATCAAAGCTGAACAAGATGTGACAGAGAGAAATGTTGGAGTCTTTAGAGTATATCATTTATTTCAAATATCTGTTTTTAATAAAATTCTATAATTTTAAATCAACGTTTCAGTTGCAAACTGTAAAAGAACAAAAATGAATTGTTATATTACATATTGAGAAAAAAAACATTAAAATGCAACGAACTGAACGGCAATAACAAATGAGCAATAAAGCAGTAAAAAACTAAAATTGTTGTAATATATAAATGATTTCCTAAAAAACTGATTGGAATCTTTTTTTTTGAACAAATAGTAACAATATGATGAATTTTGTAATACATATATATATATATATATTTTTTATTTTTTATTTTTTTTATTTTATTTTGATAGATCTAGACAGTGTTAAGAGTCGTAGAAAGTTTCATAACATTTGGACAAAGAGAATTTTTTAAAAAAATTAAAAAATTAATTTGCGGGTTAAAAAGACCCCGAATATAAAGCCATGGATCCAAGCAGACATGCTGAAATTCTAGTTCTGACCACAAAAATCAGTTAATTTCACATGATAGATCTAAACAATCCCCCTGATTTAGAGATTACAGTCACACCAAAACTAGTATACTCACCTCCTGCTCATCTTTAGTCTCTGGAGAAGACACAACTACGTATGTTTCAGTCTGTCCTCCCTCAGCCTCCTCCTGTGACCCCGCCACAGACCCCTGCCTCTCTTCCTCCCTCTCTTCTTCTACTGCTTTTCTGTTCTTTTCTTCTTCATTGTCCTCCTCATCCTCCGACAGCTGAGGAGCCCTGTTGCGCTTCCATCTCCTCCCAGCGAACGGCCTCTCTGAGGAGCCGGGCAACACCTGAAAACAAACAAATGTGTACATCACTAAAACGCTATATATATATATAAAGGGTTTTGTTACCAGTGGCTTTGGCAGATCTAAAATGCATTCAGACACCTTTCTCACATTATCACAGTTGATTCGTTATAGTTTAGAAAACGGTAATACAATATATAACAAGAACTCAGTGGATATTTCAGTGGTTTTGGCCATCCTTCTGTTAGACGGTCTCACAAATGAATTATGTTGAATATCTGTCCGTTTTCAGCTGTTAAATTTAACTACACTCTTAGATAATACCAATTTAGCTCAAGCAATGCTTAATATTGTTCAGTCTGTGTGTAAAAAGGTCACATTAGCAATTAAAGAAAAAGCGTCTGAATAATTTTTGGTCTTAAATCTTTTATACATTTTACTGGTAATCCACTGTATGAAGAATTTGTGGGTGTAATATGTCACAGATTAATTTATTTTTCTATCCTCACGTACATAAATTAACTATAGTGTCCTGCACCCACTAGTAAAAGAATATAAAAATGATGTCTGGTGTCTGAATCTGAATTTTTGGATTGACTGTATAGAATAAAAACTAAATGTGACATAAATAATATTCATGAGGAGAGCTGATTAGTTTCAGATTGTTCCTATAAGCCGTAATGTATGAAAGCTTGTTTCCACCACTGAATAAAAAAAAACCCGAAAAAAATAATTGCGACTTTTTTATAAGTCAGAATTGTGAGAAATAATTCACAATTAGCAATTCTGAGAAAAAAAGTCGCAATTGTGAGAAATAAAGTCGCAATTATGAGATATAAAGTCGCAATTGTGAGAAATAAAGTCGCAATTCTGAGAAATAAAGTTGCAATTGTGAGAAATAAAGTCGCAATTGTGAGAAATAAAGTCGCAATTCTAAGAAATAAAGTCGCAATTGTGAGAAATAAAGTCGCAATTGTGAGAAATAAAGTCGCAATTGTGAGAAAAAAAGTTGCAATTGTGAGAAATAAAGTCGCAATTATGAGATATAAAGTCGCAATTGTGAGAAATAAAGTCGCAATTCCTAAGAAATAAAGTCGCAATTCTGAGAAATAAAGTCGCAATTCTGAGAAATAAAGTCGCAATTATGAGAAATAAAGTTGCAATTATGAGAAATAAAGTTGCAATTATGATAAAAAAAGTTGCAATTGTGAGAAATAAAGTCGCAATTGTGAGAAATAAAGTCGCAATTGTGAGAAATAAAGTTGCAATTGTGAGAAATAAAGTTGCAATTGTGAGAAATAAAGTCGCAATTGTGAGAAAAAAAGTCGCAATTCTGAGAAATAAAGTTGCAATTATGAGAAATAAAGTCGCAATTCTGAGAAATAAAGTCGCAATTATGAGAAATGAAGTCATAATTCTGAGAAATAAAGTCGCAATTGCAAGAAAAAAAGACAGAATTGAGACTTTTTATCACACAATTCTGACTTTTTTTCCCTCACAATTGCAAGTTCATTCACAATCTCAAAATTCTGACATCTTTTCTCAGAATTGTGAGATATAAACTCGCAATTGCGAGTTATCAGGCCAATTATAAGGGGGAAAAAGACTAACTTTTTCACCCTCAGAATACTTTATATCTCACAATTCTGACTTTATAACACAATTGCGACTTAATATCAATCAATTCTGACTTTTTATCTCACAATTCTGACTTTATTTCTCATAATTGTGAGATATAAAGTCAGAATTGCATGTAAACTCGCAATTGTGAGAAAACAAAAGTCAGAATTGTGAGATAAAAAGTCGCAATAACCTGTTTTATTTTTCATTCTGAGGCGGAAACAAGCTTCCATAGTAATGTGATGTTTTGGCAGGTGATGTCACTCACGGGCTGCCCCCAATCTGCTTTGCGCAGCAGCTTCCGCTGGGCCTCCTTCAGGCTCTTCTCGTACACCTCCATCTGACACATGATCACACGCGTGTACTCGTCCGGGCTTTGCCCCATGGGACAGAAAGGCACTCCCCAGTAGTATGAGATTGTGCATGGTCCTTTTTTTCCCACTGAAGTATGTGTCGGTTTACGGTCAGAGGGTTGGGACTCAGCACCTTTGGACGCCCTCGAGTCCTCCTCCAGGACAGACCGGGACATTTGCGTGCCTTGTGTGGAAGAATCGAGGGTGATGGTCGCTGAAGATACACAGGACTGGTTTGGGGAAAGCCCAGTCCTGATTGAAATCTTCTTGACTGGGCTTGGAAAGACAACCTGCAGGGCAATGACATCATTTTTCAATTCTGGTTAAACGTGGATGTTTACATTAGCTATTGGAATATTTTTGTAATCAGCACCTATTATATTTTTTAGACATGCACTGATGCAAGTGAAAGTTCATTTATGTGGATATTTTGACTCAAAATTCTGAATACAGGCATATGGCAGATTCGAATTTCTAGACAACACAACATTAGCTGTATCTGGTTATGGCAATATTGTGTTTACAAGAATCGGAAAACATTGAAATACTGATTAATGGAATAATATTATTGTGCATTAACATGCAGTTGTTTTAAATTTACAAACTGTTAACTTTAAAGTACAGTATCCTGCCTACCTCTTCTTCTTCATCATCATCCTCATCTGCTAAATGCAAGACCATGTGACTGGTAAATTCATTCCAAGACTGGTTTGGAGCTTTTTCTGCAGTTTAACACATAATGAAATGATTAGGGTGAACCCAAGTGTTCAGAATCACAGATATTGTGCACTACCGGTCAAAAGATTGGGGTCGGAAATAAATATATATATATATATATATATATATATATATACACACACACACACACACACACATATATACATATATATATATATATATATATATATATATATATTTAGGGCTGTGCAAAAGTTAATTGCGATTAATCGCATCCAAAATAAAAGTCTGTGTTTACATAATATATCTGTGTGTGCTGTATATAATTATTTTGTATATATAAATACACACACATGCATGTATATATTTAAGAAAATGTGTTATTCATATATAAAATATTTATATTTATATAATATAGATTATGTATTTATAAATATATACAGAATTTAAGCGCAAATAATTCTTAAATATATACATGCATGCATAGGTATTTATATACAAAATAATTATATACAGCACACACAAATATATTATGTAAACACAGACTTTTATTTTGGATGCGATTAATCGCAATTAATTTTTGCACAGCCCTAAATATATATATATATATATATATATATATATTTACGTTTTTGAAAGAAGTCTCTTGTCAGACTTCTTACACGTTTTTGTAGGATTCATTGGTGAATAGCAAGTTTAAAAGAACAGCAATTTTTTTTTTACATTATACATGTCTTTACTACGGAGGCGTATTGCATTCACTTGAAGAAAAAAAATCTACTCTGTTTTTCTGAATTAACGAGTTAATTTTTCATGAGATAAAAAGTTTTTGCTCTGTTTTTCTGAATTAATGAGTTAATTTTCATGAGAACATTTTTTTTGCTGTTTTTCTGAATTAACGAGTTAATTCAGAAAAACAGAGTAAAATATTTTTTTTCTCATCAAAAATGAACTCGTTAATTCAGAAAAACAGAGCAAAAACTTTTTTCTCATGAAAAATTAACTCATTAATTCAGAAAAACAGAGTAAAATATTTTTTTCTCATCAAAAATGAACTCGTTAATTCAGAAAAACAGAGCAAAAACTTTTTTCTCATGAAAAATTAACTCATTAATTCAGAAAAAACAGAGTAAAATATTTTTTTCTCATCAAAAATTAACTCATTAATTCAGAAAAACAGAGCAAAAAAAAATTTTTCTCATGAAAATTAACTCATTCAGAAAAACAGAGAAAAACATTTTTTCTCATGAAAAATTAACTCATTAATTCAGAAAAACAGAGTAAAATTTTTTTCTTCAAGTGAATGCAATACTTTACAGTGACTCTGTATAAAAGTATTAACAGTACATATAAACATATATTTAAAAAGGCTGAATAGTTGGCCTGGCTGAATCAACATTTGTATGGAACCATCGCACAGAGAACCCAATAACTCAACAGGCCCTGTCGGCAGGAACCAAACTCACTCTGTGTGGTGACCAATACTACAAAACACAGCTCAGTCTTGCAGCAACAGTGGGTCGACCACAACTGCCTTACTTCTATACTCAACACTAAGCATTTCCTTTGACATGACTACACATCCCCAAAGTACCACTTAGAAATGAAATGAAGTGAACTCTTGGTTCTAGGCTCATGTCTCAGAGTAAATAGAGCAAACATTGCCAGTAGAGAGGAGGAGTGTAAGAAACGACATACCAGTGTCAGATTTTACATTCTCACCCTGAGTGGTTTGATCCTCCACTTGCTTTTGGTCAGGATTGTTCTGTTAAAATAATACAATAGAGTTAGAACACAAATAGAGATGATAGATAGAGTCAGGGATGTTGTAATCCCAAATCACATTTTATTTATCCTATACAGAACGAGAATGAGTAACATACGTAGAATTTTACAGATACTAACGGACCGGTTTCCACTGATTTTTACACATAAGACCTTCTTGGGTAGAATTGTGTTATTTTAAGTAAAATCTTTAAATAAAATGATTAGAACATGCATTACAGCGGCCTATTTGATACCATGACTGATAACTGTACACACATTTAATCTGAAGAACACACACTATTGTTTAAATGGACTTTTCAAGTCTCTTATGCTCACCAATACTGCATTTATTTGATCAAAATACAGTAAAAACAGTATGATTCTCAATTTTTCTTACAATTTAGAAACCACTTTTCATTTCAAAGTTCAAACATAATCATAATTTATTCGTGTGATGGTGAAGCAACGTTTTTTTGCATCATTACTCTTCAGTGTCACGTGATCCTTCCATCATTGTGGTTAATATGTTGATTTGGTGCTTAAAACTGTCACCGTCCTGGTACCGGGACGCCTTTACTTCACTATATTTCTATTAAATCCTAATTTAATTATGACAAATTATATATCGTTGGAAAGGTCTAAGACTTAAATAGATATTGTACCCCTGTTTTGTGTTCCAAATTATGTAGGAAGAGTAATTGATTAATTTATGACAAGAGTGCACCTCAAAAAAATCTTTTGACCTTTGTCACAAAAAGTCGATGATGCACCCACTTTTAATCATTGAAACTTCTGTTTTTATGCTAAAAGTTCACTATAAAATATAATCTAGTATTTTTCAATAAAAAATAAAAAATTATAGTGTAATATCATCCTCTAAAAATGATAATATTTATATTTATTATCCTCTAAAATATAATATAATTTTTTATCGCCTTTTTTATGACATCACATATTTTAGTAGTTATCATAAATTAGGTATGATTTGAAAGCTTATAAACTCAGAATTCATCCTGTGAAAACTGTTTTATAATTGAACGTTGCGTTACCATAGAAACGGTACTTATTTTATCAGGCTCCACCCCTTTTGGGCATCATTAGATTTCATAATTTATGATCAAAACAGATATTGTCAGAAAGGTTTGAGTCTCAAGGTTCCAAATTTTGTGACAGAATTGATATTTGGACAGAAATGTATTAAGAATGCATACAACTAAATTCAATAGAATTCAATGGCACCCGGTGGCTATTTTTGGTACTACGCCTAAACAAAATCTCATGGGAACTTCAATTTTTGTGATTAAGAAACATTTTTTAGTGTTAATGTTAAAAAAAAACCGCGATGCATTTTCTTTGAAATAGAAAAGTTGTGTAACATTATTAAGTCTTAACTCACTTTTGATCCGTGCTAAATCTTTCAAACGACAACACAATCGTAGTAATCAGTAAACAGTACTGTTTTATTTTAAGCTGTCCTACTTACACTCGTTTCAGTGATGTCTTCATTGCTGTTTTCAGGCACACATTTGGGGCTTGATATCTGGGATCTTCTAGAAGGTGAAAGGCACGTATCTGGATCTGTGCTCAAACCTTGGCTTAGCTGTGTTGCTAAAGGAGTATCTTCATCAGGTATTTGAGTATCGTCTTCCTCCCCGTTGGCATCTCGATGGCCATCTTTGTCCTCTGGCAGATGGCTTGTTGGTTTGAAGCGATCCTGAGTGGAGACAGGCCGTTTGGAAACAGGCGAGTCCTTCTGTGGGGACAGAAACCTGTCGGCGCAGGTGTCCTCGGGGTGAAAGTTCATTGGGCCTGCGCTCCCCGGGATGAGTTCCTGACTCAGTTTCTCCACACATACTACAGAATGGCGAATCAAGCTGCGATGCAGGGGGAAGACAGGGGACATCTGGGACTCTGAGCGAGACTTGAAGAGCTCATCCTCCGGAGTGTCGCTGATGACTGTCAGTTTATCTGAGGTTTTGTCCTGGGAATATGCATCAAACATGTGGGAAACAAAGGGAAGGTTCATACCTTTATAATTAACCCTAAAACTGTATTCTGGACAAATGTGGGCAAAATAGTTTTCAAAAATACTTCCCTTGATCTGAGCGGTACAAAACTTGGCTACTTTCCCCAAGTTTGCCTCCTGAACACACACAATATTTTTTGACTCAATTCTACAATGTTAAGTGGGTGAAAAAAACCCTCCTTAATCTTGTATTTTGGTCAAAAATGGGCACCCATAGAAATGAAATGGGAAAAACTGTAATGTAGAGCATTCTAAAATAAGCCAAAATAAGTTCTTCAAGCTAAAACCTAAAGATGAAGTGACTTTGGTGTCTTATTTTGGCTTATTTTAGAATGCTCTAAATTACAGTTTTTCCCATTCATTTCATTTCTGCCCATTTTTGACCCAAATACAAGATTAAGGAGTTTGTTTTTCAACCACTTAACACTGTAGAATTGAGTCAAAAAAATATTGTATTTGTTCAGGAAGCAAACTTAGGAAAAGTAGCCAAGTTTTGTACCGCTCAGATCAAGGGAAGTATTTTTGAAAACTACTTTGCCCACATTTGTCCAGAATACAGGACAAATCTTCTGGTTTTAGCTTGAATAACTTATTTTAATATCATTCCAATAAGTTCTTGCCTCGTTAATCAACATAAACAAATCTTTTTTCATGTCATTTGGTTCATTCAACGAACGAAACGAACAAATTGACTCAGAAAAAGATTCATTCATTTTGACGAACGAGTTCAAACAGGAGAGTCACGAACGAGCATTTGAGCTTATAAAACTTAAACTTTGTTATTTATTTATTAAATGAGCGATCGTTTCGCTTGATAAGACATTTATTAATCGTCTGGAATCGTTTAAAGCCCTTTGAACAGTTTGCACTGAAACTGTCTTTTGGTCCCCATTGAAGTCCATTATATGGAGAAAATCCTGGAATGTTTTCATCAAAAACCTTAATTTCTTTTCGACTGAAGAAAGAAACACATGGACATCTTGGATGACACGGGGGTGAGTAAATTATCAGCAAAAGTTTTTTCAGAAGTGAACTACTCCTTTAAGATCATTTTGACAATTTAGAGGCCTTGGAAATGTCTGTATCAAATATGATACGGTAGGCTTTAGGGTTATGAACAATATAATGTGACGTGATTTCATGAAAACTAACCTGAGAGGTCGCAGGAGTCTTGGAGAGCTGCGTTGAACTCCTCGAGGAGGTCGTCTGTGACAGATCAGGCATTTCTAGCAGCGGACTAGTGTTTTCCCTCTCAGTCTCGCTGTGTGTCGGATCTGGTCTGGGGTAAGACAGCTTTCGTCTCAAGTGCAATACTGTGTTTGCTACATCCTGCTGCGGTTGCCCTGAAGAGCTGGCGGCTTCATCCTGACCCTGCGAGTCGTTTACAGCGCTCTCCTGCAGAAACACATGCAGCATTTTTGATTAAAGCCATTCTGCTCTTTTGGTATATGAGACTTGTGTGACTTAAGGCTGGAAATCCACGACACATTTGCACAGATTTTGGTCAGACCGAAGCGCCCGCGGCCTTAGATCACTCGGATGTGACTGTGGTTACAAGAGGTAAAACGATATAAATACTGTTCGTTTCCTCACACAAACCGCTTGTTTCGTGTCTAAGGACATCAATGTGTTCTTACATTTACGAGTCATTAAATCATGTTTAATTTGGACTTCTCTGTGCTGCTCTTTGAGGTGGTGACTAGAGCCAGACCGATATATCGGTACGTCGATATTAGGCATTTTCCAAACTATCGGTATCGGCAGTTATAATGGCCGATAAATTAATATTTAAAAAATAAATTAAAAACGTACGAAAAACACTTGAACCATGTCATGAGTGTTGGAGTTGTATAGTTTGTCCACCAGAGGGCACTCTACACCATTCCTGTTGGCAAGCTAAACACTCATAGACTAGCTAACCATAAAGCTAATGCCAATATCATCAGTCTGTTCTGTTGTGACAATAAAAGAAACAAATTTCTTTTTAAAATGCATTATCATATTACATATTATTTTAGTTAAAACTCATAAATGACTACAAATAACTGATGTTAGGGAAATCTGTTAATGTTTTGTTGCGCGTTTCTGAAATAAAAAAAATATCGGCCCATATATCTGAATATCGAATTTTAAAACCAAAAAATATTTGTATCGGCCTTCAAAATCCTTTATCGGTCGGGCTCTAGTGGTGACCATAGACCTCCATTATATGACTGACACACAAGAACGCTTTGACCTAAAAATATCAAAATTGAAACTATTGCGGAAACAAAGACACCTACATCTTGGATGCCCTTGAGGTAAGATAAAACATACCAAAAATTAATTTCAAAGTGAACAAATCAGTTCTCATTTTTAAAAGTCGTGTAGTGGATTCCAGCCTTTAGGAGAAAAAGTGTTTCCCCAACATGAAGACTTTCTTCTATGGCTTTCTGTATGTCGCTGTCTTCCAGCTGTCTCTGTCTCTGTGCTGCACTGTTGGCTTCCTGAGCGCTCAGTCTCATGGCCAAGAGCAACATCTCTTCTTCCGTCATCTCTGAAAGTTCATGGCATAGAAGGGTCTGAATGAGATGTATGGCTAATATTTCAGGCACAATTTATGATTTGTTAAGACAATCCGAGTTGCGGTACCTTGTAGTTGGGACTCGTTCTCTCTTCGTCTCCTCCGGGATGTCCGAGAGGACCGTTTAAGGGAACTATCGTCCTCCTCCTAAGGATAAAAAGGTCAAATCTAAAGTCAGTTTATTTGAAATTAACCGTCGTTATGTATAAAAAAAGCCATAGTTATAAAAGTCACATGAAACAGAAGGTGCAATAGTCTTTTCTTCACTATTGTGGCGTATAGGGCGGGACTTGATTTTGTCCATGTGGATTTGATTGGTCAATCTCATGTGAGTGACAGGTTGTCTTGTCCTCACTTCATCAAAAGTTGTTGCAAGAGGGAGGGGAAGTTATTTTGCATTTGGTGACGTTACTGGCACTGAAATCAGCACAACACACCACAGCCAACTAAGCCAATACTAAATATGTGGTGCTAATGTTTAGCAGAAACATTTCTAGTATTCCTTAAAGCGAAGTCGTTGTTTTCCCCACACGACCACTAACACACAGACACACACATACTGCAAACACAGTACCTCTTGATCAGAATCAGATATAACCAGGGTCTCCTCATTGTGCTCCACTCTGCTGACTTTAGCTCTTCTTCCGCTTTCATCCAGCGTGCGCTTCCGGCGGGGCATCCTGCGACCTCAACAACATTAATTTTCCCTCTCTCAAACTTACACACCTTTAGACGCGCTCTCTGAGACGCTACCTCAGCTAACTGCTCAGAAACTTCGACTGAACGCGTTCAATGTTCATATCAGGTTATACAATGTTAGCTAATCCAGTCAACGACTCGAAAAACAAGGATTTCGATTCCAGAAAATTTTCACAAGCGACGAAACAAGAGTCACGTGAGACAAGAGAGACGTTACGTCATCATAGCCGACAGCCAGCGCGCGCGCTGGATCGAGTCATTTCTGTGAATCAGTTTGTTTCAAAGAACCGGTTCAATGATTCTTTTACGTCGCCGCATGACGCTGAATTTTAAATGTAGAAAAAAAAAATCCATAGACATTAACAAAAACGCAAATGCAATAATAAAATACATACAAATAATGAAATTAAAGGACGTCACAAAAATAAATTAATTTACCATCATTTTTTAAGGGAAATTTTTATAGACTCAAAATAAGTTTTAAGGGCTGTTACTCCAATGAATATATATATTTTCATTGGAGTAACAACTCAACTTATTTTGAGTCTATAAAAAAAATGAATATATATATATATGAAGAGTTCAGATGCAAAAGCCCCTAAATGCCATTTGAAATTTTCTTCTTTAATGATGATTTTTATCAAACTTGTATATTTAAGTTCAGTAATTTCACTTAAATGGCAATGATAATTACCTATTAATTGTTATTTAAGTGAAATTACTGAACTTAAATATACAAGCTTGATAAAAATCATCATTAAAGAAGAAAATTTCAAATGGCATTTAGAGGCTTTTGCATCTGAACTCTTCATATATATATATATAGCCTATATATTCATATTAAACAGATCCATGATATACATGTTAATTTGGATAAAGTAAAACTGTTGATAGATTGTTATCAGCGTGGTATATTAATGCTTCAACGTTTAAATACAGGTAAATCGCAGTAATTAATTTATTGGCATGCAGCCTGCTGCTTATTGTATTTTTTTTTTTTTTTCAAAATTAATTTACAACGTTGTTTATAATGAAATATGCCCCAAATTTAGTTTGCCGAAGCCAAAATTCAGCTAATAAAACATCTAAAATCTAAAGTAAATATCCCTACAACAAAATTGTGGTGTTAGCGCGAGAATCGGATCGATTCAGAATCACACCACTTCAACACACAGAAAACAATTTATTCTCAAGTAGCTACAATATTTGAGGTGATCATAATTACATATTTGTGTCAAATCTGTGGCTTAGGGGGGATTAAGAGTTCATTTTGCTTTACTTCAAATTGTAAGATGGTAAACAGCTAGTTGGAAGATTCGCCGTAACTTAAAAAGAATAGTAGTTAGTAACGAATATTTTCGTTGTGTTTATACACAATTAACTTGGCTACATTACAGTTAGCAACACGACTTGTTTACCTCGTCTAGATTCTCTTATATATCCTTGAATCATGCGAATTGCTTAAATAATTGTGTGACGCATGCAGGATAAATGGTGCACATATTTGTTTGTAGATAGAATAAAAAAGGGTTACAGCAGCATTTCGGTATGAAGAGACTTGTGCGGCGCATGTCCCATCTGCGCATGCGCAACCCGCCTCCTGCATCCATCATGGCGCAGCAAGAGCCGAATGGAGATTTTCCATATTTACCTTCAGGGGCGGCCGAGGGTAAGAGATCGGCGTCACTCAATCAGAATAAATGGTGTTACTTTCGATGCATTATTTATAAGGAAAACATGACATTTATTCCGAGAATGTGCAGTGCCTGAGAGTGGGAAAGAGTGTAAGGCATGGTAGCCTAGCTCAAGCTCTCAGGGCTGCTGCTTTAGTGTGTGTTGGCAGAACAGTACACAAGGTCGATGTAAGACATAGTCTGATACTTGCAATTAAATGCATAGAAAGTCTATTTCAGCTCTGCATACTTGGCCTTGTAGCTGTGTTTTGTATGTTTATTTAATACAACAATGAAATGCCCCTTTGTAGTGACTGTTTCTGATGCTGACCTGTCTTTCAGTGAACCGAATGATAAAGGAGAACAGTGACTTGTTCTCTGATTCTCAGTGTAAAGTGTGTAGCGCTGTCTTAATCTCAGAATCCCAGAAACTTGCACATTATCAGGTAAGCTTTCACATTCACATAGACAAAGTTTATATGATCGTCCTTTGTTCGTCTGTCAGTAAAGTACAAAACGTGGTTTTAAGGGCAAAATATTGATTGCAAGTATTTCAGGCTGTGTTCACAATGACGTACTGGCATACTACTCGTACTATTTCTGCAGTATGTCTACCTTTATGTGTTTTTGTGTGCATGTAATACTCGGATTACCAACTGAATTTGACTAACTCTGCAGTATATAACCGCACACTTTGCCAAGTGCTATCGATAGTGTATAGTAGAGGCAGGACACTTAAATTATATTTAAAAGGAGACATTTTGTACGCCCATTATGGTGCTCAAATAAGAGAAGAGTATGATACCATTCATGACAGAATTAATTGCTGATTTGAAATATATTAGTTAAATTAAGTGTGTTGCTGATAATTTACTCGCCCCCGTGTCATCCAAGATGTCCATGTCTTTCTTTCTTCAGTCGAAAAGAAATTAAGGTTTTTGATGAAAACATTCCAGGATTTTGTCCATATAATGGACTTCAATGGGGTCCAAACGGTTCAAGGTCCAAATGAGAGTTTCAGTGCAAACTGTTCAAAGGGCTTTAAACGACACCAGACGATGAATAAGGGTCTTATCAAGCGAAACGATCGCTCATTTAATAAATAAATAACAAAGTTTAAGTTTTATAAGCTCAAATGCTCGCCTTGCTCTTTCTGTGATGAGCGTTCGTGACTCTCCTGTTCGAGTCATTTGGTTCATTCAGAGTTGACTCGGGAAAAGATTTGTTCATTTTGATGAACGAGTTCGAACAGGAGAGTCACGAACGAGCATCACAGAACAGAGCAAGGCGAGCATTTGAGCTGAAACCCATGAAAATCATCTGGTCATTTGATCTGACTGTCAAAGACATTTTTTCCCCAAATGTGGATAAACTACACACTGTTTCACATACTAAACTAGCTTAGTGGTTAAAGTTTACAAAACATCAGCTAAAGGACAAATTAGGACCTTCTCAGTGTTAACCTTCCCGTCTCTTTTTTTGTAGAGCAAAAAACATGCGAGCAAAGTACGCCGGTACATGAGCATTCACGGTGATGCGGAGCCCAATGCGAAACGGTTGAAGACTTCAGATGTCGCTGTAAGACTTGTTGAATATTCGGTCACGGATATGTCTGTGTCCAGTATTAATGGGCAGTGTTCTGTGTTGCAGGCCAGTGATGTCGATGAAGGGGAGAAATACAAAGCCTGCAATGTGTGCAACATGTCGTTCTCTTCCCCGGTGGTGGCGCAGTCACATTACCAGGGCAAAGTTCACTCCAAGAACCTTCACTTGAAGACCTACGGTCAGCAGACTCCTGGTGAGAACACTTGATTATCATTCAATTTAATAGTAGATGGTCTTGCTCTGCGATCAGTTTGCACTGGCAATGCATAAAACAGGTTTTTACTGAAATATACGAACCTTTGCACCATATTCTAATTTTTTGAGTTTCACCTGTATTTTTGTTACTGAATATTTCATAATATATATAATATAGGGCTGGGTATTGAGACAAATTTCACAATTCGATTCGATTTCGATTTGATTCAATATCGATTATTTTGGATATCAGTTACAATAAATTGCCATTTTTCTCAAGGGAATCAAATCTCTGAACTAATGCTGTAAACTATGAGAGTCTAGTTGTAGCCTATAGGCTTCATTAGCCTAATATGAAGGTAATAATGAACTGTTTTGTAGCTATACAAACACTTAAATTACACTTATTTATTTTTATAATAAAAAGATTATATGAAATATAAACATTTAAATGGTGGCTGTCATAAAAACTTGCCAGATTTATTCAAATATGCATTAAATATTGAAGAACATTAAGATTATAATGCATATGTAATATGGTGTATATATTTAGCAAAATGCTCCTCTCTGGAGTTATTTTTTCTAGCTGACTAACGAGTTTATGTGGGTTTTCTGAGGTAAATATGACGATACATTGATTACAAGCTGTTTAACTGACGTCTTTCAGCGGTTTAAACGCAGATTGAGTGAATCAATGTGACATGATAGGGATTTAGATAAGTTGTACTGTAACTTTAACACACTTTCAGATGCTCATTCATGTTTATTTGGCGCTGTGACTGGTATTATTAAGCCGGAAGAGAGATCAGCGCTGCTGCTTCTCCAGAGCGATCTCACGCCACAGCGACAAAACGCTATTTATGTTTTTGAATTTCTAAAGAAAATGGTCGTAATTTCAAAATTGAGACTTTGTTTCATATCAATAGTAACAAAGGACAAAGATTATTTCAATTTTTTGGAAGCGCGCAGCCGCGATACAATGATCCATTCATTCAAATGAAACAGGATGACTAATCGATTCTTGAGATTTAAGAATCGACATCGGTTCGTAAAAATGAGAATCGATTAATATCGAGAAATCGATATTTATTACCCAGCCCTAATATAATATTATATTCCCAACATGGTTAGAACGGGTGATTTCACCTGACCTGTTGTGTTGTCCCTCATGTTCCAGCATTACCTCAGGCCAAAGCACAGGTGAAGAAGGATGAAGGGCTGCCTAAAGGTGTGCAGGGGCCGGCCGAGCGTGACCCCAACCGCTTCTGCTCCATCTGCCAGGCCTCTTTCAACAACCCCCTGATGGCCCAGCAGCACTACAACGGCAAGAAACATAAAAAACACCTGACTAAACAGAAGCTGATGGAGACCTATGGGCCGTCCATTGTACCAGGTCAGAACATAGAAGGGGGGTCTCACAGCCTTCATGACATCAGACAGGAATCATCATGTAAGGAATTACATCCAGTCAGAAAAATAGCATTCATTTTGGTGGCTTTTTTAAATTAATAATTCATGTATAAATATGAAGAGTTTTTTTTTTTTAAAGTACAGACCTCACAATTCTGTGAAAAACATTTTTTGTTTTGTTTTTAGAAGTCAAAATGACTTTCAGTGGTAAGCGACTGCATCTCTAGTCGTATTTAACCTTTTTTCAATTAAAGTCCTAACATTATTTTTACTTATTGCCATATTGCAAATGAATGGGTTGCACAAGACAAAATAAATATTATTGAATACATTTGCATGCACATCAAATTCTGTTTACCAAAGAATTTGATGGTTATTGCAAGTAGTGTTTTGATCATTATCATTATTATTAAAAAAAACTTGTGCTTTCTAAATGTGTATATCACAATGTAATTGTTTTTAAAACGTTCACACAGCAGTGTTGTTATTGATGATAAACGATCCTAAAATATATTAAAAAAACAAACATTTTCATTAATTGAAATAAAACTAATAAAAAAAGAAATGTTGCCTTAGCAACTAACTGAAATATTTTAAGTACTAAAATGACAAACGAAGGCTAAATAGAAATATAAAAATGACAAAAGCTCAAAATTACTAAAACATTACGAAAACTAAAATGGAAACCTAAAAATATAAGCTAATTCAAAATATTAATAAATATTATATAAGTACTAAAATTTTAATTACAATAAACTAGATTGCATCCAAAATAAAAGTGGGTGCACTGTGTATAATTATTTTGTGTATATATATATATATATATATATATATATAAACACACTCACGTATATACAGTATGTACATAAATGTATACAAGCATGTGTGTATGTATATATGAAGAGTTCAGATGCAAAAGCCTCTAAGTGCCATTTGAAATTTTCTTCTAGAATGATACTTTTTATCAAGCTTGTATATTTAAGTTCAGTGATTTCACTTAAATGGCAATGATAATTACCTATTAATTGTTATTTAAGTGAAATTACTGAACTTAAATATACAAGCTTGATAAAATTCATCATTAAAGATGAAAATTTCAAATGGCATTTAGAGGCTTTTGCATCTGAACTCTTCATATATATATATATAAAATAATTATACACAGTGCACCCACATATATTATGTAAAAAGAAACTTTTATTTTGGATGCGATTAATCATTTGACAGCACTACAATAAACCAAAAATAGAAAATGACAAAAGCACCTAACAAAATGGCTAAATATAAAATAATAGCGAATTCAAAATGCACAAATCAGTTTGTTTTTCCTTGAGAAAAAATGACGTACTGCACCTGATAATGATATGCATCCGAATGGATCAATATTAAATGGAAAAGTTGAAATTGGTCAGTGACTCTCTTTGTTGTTGTGTTTGTGTCACTAAAATGTTAAATGTGCTTTCTGTCAGCCTCCTCACAGAAGGGCTACCCGTGTACTGTGTGTAATATTGAGCTGAACTCCGTGGAGCAGTACCAGGCCCACATCAGCGGCTCCAAACACAAGAACCAGTGAGTATCTCGCGCTGCTTTCGGGAAAACACTTTCTTATTGGCCAACAAATAATGCATTTGTCCCCCATTTCCACAGCAATAAACCCAAGAAAGGGCCAAACGCATTCGCCGGCCCACCCGACAACTACCAGCCCGATTTCCAGTATCCGCCCGGCCAGGAGGGTGCGGAGGCCGGGGAGGACTGGAACCGCTTCACTGAAGGCTACGAGTGAGAAGATGCCCTCCTCGTCTCATTTGTGACAAGCTTCCTCTGTTTAGGCACAGGTCGATGTGTGTCTGCACTGTGCATCTCCTAATGCCAGCTATTCACCACAATGCATCTCTTCCTGACCATCCTCACACACAGTTGAAGGGACCACAATAAACCCCCATCCATAACCGAAAGCAACGGAGGCGAAACTTAAGAGTGCTGCTTCCCCCCCCCCCCCCCGAGTATGTTTATTAGTGTTTTTGGTTTACAGAAATTAATTTCCATGTTCTCCACATACATATGCAGATGTTTGTTCTAAATGATCGATACTCTTATTTGTTGCTTTTTATCTTAAACCGCTCAAGCTCCACGTTTTCTGTTAAATGAATGTCGGATTTGATAGTTTGCAACATTTTGAAGAGTGCTTTCTTTCTTAAGTTCTGATTTTCTACGTCAATTTTGGAGAAATCTATGTATTTTTAAGCAATTTTTAGGGTGGGCAGTATAGTAGTTGTCTTTCATTTCTCATGGGTCCTTTACATTTCCATGTAAACGTGACTCTTTAAGTAGGAAGTATGTTGTAACTTCATATGCTTAGAGATTTAAGCTCACATCCAAACTATACTCGTCCTAGTTATTAAAATTATCCAATCAGAAAAAATTAGGGTGATTTATTTTAGTTTCCATTTAGGCACAAACACATAAGTTCATCTTGACGTGGTCATCTTTGCCGTGTATTCTGGTGTGTTACTCTTTTTCAAAGTCAAACTAGTAAGAAATGGATTAGTTTCAGACGTGCTTGTAAGATGAAAACGCTAGGGAAGCAGAAATGTAAGGAGTTTCCGATATGTGTTTATTTTTGCAATGCACATTACATTGCAGATTGTCCTTGGCATAAGAGACTGACAAGCAGCAATAGTTCAATTAGCGTTTAGCACCTGCGTATTAAACAATGCCTCAGTTTAAGAGTCCGTTTATTCGGGATTGTATATGATGTTATTGTGAAAGGTTGAAACGCTACTTTGTCACTAAAGCACCGAATGTGTTTTCTGGATAGTTTTTACTCTAAGCGTGGTGTGTTAGATTCATACAGACCCTACTGTATCCGTAGATCTGTAATCATAATCCGTTCTGCTATGAGTGAGTTTAGACGGTGCTGTTACACTGATGAATGTTTTTGCAATCTTGAAGGCTTCTGCGCAACACAACGGCAATTCTGTGAACGAATAGGGCCTTCAGACTTGGTAGCATATATGTATTTGATGTCATTTTGCTTTTATTGGTCAATTTTCTTTTCAACAGACATTGTGAGCCTAAAAAAAAATGTATGTCACTTTTCATCCAGTAAAATGTTTTGAGAACTCCTGCATTTCGGACATGTTTTAATGAACATAACTAAAATTGGTCCATTTATTCAGATTTTTTTCAACGTGCTATTTCTCATAAACGTGCATAGAACGGGAAACCAGCGTGTGTGTATGATTACGATAACAAATTAATATATTTAGCAGTTTGTAGCAATGCATGACGGACTGTTTTTGTACAGATATATAATAACTGGACGTGACCGACACATTTAAGTTAAAAATGGCTTTTACATTTAAAATAAGGTGGATACCGGTACTTCAAAAGGGCCATATTAAAAAATAATTAAGTCCACTTATAATTAAGTTTGCCGTTTTTCATTTGTTCTTTATGCAAGCTTGTTTTACACCATAGAATACAAAATAAAAAAATGTAACTGCTTTTTATCTCGCAATTCTGAGTTTTTTTTTTTTTTTTTTTAGAATAGGCTATATATGATATAAACTTGCAATTGTGAGTTATAAAGTCAGACTTGTGAGATAAAAAGCAATTCTCTTTTAAATAGTTTTATTTTGTGGCAGAAACAAGTTTCGAATGAAAGCTGCCGTAAGCAATGTTCCCAATGCCCTCAGAGACACTGAAGAATCACTGAATATTGCACCATTCAAGGAGTAGTTCACTTTTAAAAAAAACTTACTCACCCCCGTGTCATCCAAGATGTCCATGTCTTTCTTTCTTCAGTCGAAAAGAAATTAAGGTTTTTGATGAAAACATTCCAGGATTTTTCTCCATATAATGGACTCCAATGGGGTCCAAACTGTTCAAAGGGCTTTAAACGATTCCAGATGATGAATAAGGGTCTTATCAAGCGAAACGATCACTCATTTAAAAAAACAACAACAACAACAGTATCCCTTTAATTAGCACTGAACTTTATGCTTTATTTATATATCATAAAATAAATAATAAAAAGCATGCATGTTCAGACCTTGTCCTCTAGATGGCGTACTTTACACACTGGGACAAGATGGATATTGGGCCAGTATACATGTATATTCTTTGAAATGCATTTGTATAAACTTCTCCAAAATCTAATCAGTTCACCATCTGTAAATAAATCACGAAGGGTGAATTTTTAGCATTAGAATCAGATTCTCACCGTCAGTGTGGTTTATTGTCAATTGTCTTTGCTATACAACATGGATAATAAATCAACTGTAATAACGAATAACGAACAAACAGCAGTTAAATGTACATAGTTGCTACACTTAAAAATATATATATTTTGTCACATTTTTGAGTTAAAACTAGTCTACTAAATATTTTTGTAGCTAAACAGATTTTTAGTTCCCAGCATGCTTTGCATAGGGCTGCATCAGATTAAGTGTCAAAATTAATTTTTATTTGATGTGTTTGAATAAGACCTGTTTGTTATTGTTCAGTTAGACTATGACTTTTAAAAGAGATGTTTTGCAGTTGCCATTGTGTTATAGTGTTACTGATATTATTGCTATACCCAAGAGTTCATAACTCTCTCTTTAGACTGGAAATTGTTACCTCAATTTTATTGAGTATATTCAGGGTTTGCTTTTACAGTGACAGCACTATTTCCAGTTCCCGTGCCCCTCGTGTGCTGTAAAGAATCAATGCGGCTTGATTTTGCCAGGTATTTCCATTCATAAAAAGGCAATGGGGAGGAGGCATGACTATTTTCATTGATAAGATCTATTTATTCGAAGGGGGAGGTATCTGGTGCCTTCCATTCACTGAAAGAGAGGAGTCCTGCCCCTCCAGCGAGGCGCCACGGTGTACAAACAGCCCAGTCGTATGTACTTTACCAGCATGCTGGAACATAGACTCCCTGTGTGAGAACGAACACCACCCACCGTCGTATATTCATATAGGCACCGTGTGAGGTTTAGCTCTCCAGTGAATCGCTGTTATTTACAGGCATGACAGATTCATCTCTACAAATTTGCCCCGACAAAGACGTTTTGAGTTGTGCTGTGAATCGAGCTGGATGCAACTTTAGTGGATATAGTCCGTAGTTTCATAGTTCCACCCTATTTCATCCGCAATGAGGCCCGGGGAGCTTTGGGTCATGTTGAGTGTAACTTGATGAATGAGTGCTGGACTTTGGCAGACCCATTCAAGTTTACACTCGCGTTTCTAAACATGCCCTTGTGTATTGAGTGGCCACATGGACACTAGTTTGAACCGAGTGCTGTTTGCTGAACCCCCGCTCCGGGTGTGTAGTCATTCCTTTATTCGCTGTTTGCACGCTTTGCATGGAAAAGACATCAAGCAAACTGTCCTGTCTTTCTAATTTACATTGTAAAACATGTCTAACCTCCCAACTCAAAATTTTCTAGTTACTGATCAGATCTAAATTTTTCATTTGGAATTTTAGAATTTCACTTGGGCCAATTGAAAATGTAGATGTGACCAGACACTAAAGTTTACGGAAGCGTTTTGGATTTACTTGAGGAAACAAAATCTACTATGTTTTTCAGAATTAACAAGTTAATTATCTCAGAATTATGAGATATTTTTTCTTGAAAAACTTTTTTTTCACCTTTTTTATGAATTAATGAGTTGCTCCTAATTTTTGAGATAACCGAGTCATTAATTCAGAGAAAAAACTTTTTCCATGAAAAACTACCTCGTAATTCTGAGATAATTAGCTCGTTAATTCCGAAAAAAACTTCTCCATGAAAAACTATCTCAGATAATTAACTCGTTAATTCCGAAAAAAAACTTCTCCATGAAAAACTATATGAGATAATTAACTTGTTAATTCCGAAAAAAACAAAAACTTTTCCATGAAAAACTATCTCGTAATTCTGAGATAATTAACTCGTTAATTCAGAAAAAAACTAAAACTTTTCCATGAAACACTCTTGTAATTCTGAGATAATTAACTCGTTAATTCCGAAAAAAACTTTTCCATGAAAAACTATCTTGTAATTCTGAGATAATTAACTCGTTAATTCTGAAAAAAAAAACATCTCGTATTTCTGAGATAATTAACTCTTTAATTCAGAAAAAAACAAACAAAACTTTTTTCCATGAAAAATTCTCGTAATTCTGAGATAATTAACTTGAAAATTCTGAAAAAACCAAAAACTTTTCCATGAAAAACTCTTGTAATTCTGAGATAATTAACTCGTTAATTCAGAAAAACAGAGCAAAAACTTTTTTCCATGAAAAATTCTCGTAATTCTGAGATAATTAACTCGTTAATTCAGAAAAACGGAACAAAAACTTTTTTCCATGAAAAACTATCTCGTAATTCTGAGATAATTAACTTGAAAATTCCGAAAAAAACCCAAAAACTTTTCCATGAAAAACTCTTGTAATTCTGAGATAATTAACTCTTTAATTCAGAAAAACAGAGCAAAAACTTTTTTCCATGAAAAACTATCTCGTAATTCTGAGATAATTAACTCGTTAATTCAGATTTTGTTTCTTCAAGTGAATGCAGTACACTTCCGCAGTCCAGTGTGTGTGTGACAGTCAGGATGCAGGAGACAGGGGTTTGCTCATGGGTGAAGGGAGAGTGTGTTGTTGAGGGGCATGTGGGCGGCAGGAGGCTGTATTCTCTGTTTGGCCTGTCACAGTTTCAGGGGGTTATTGTCTAGGATGGAGACATCCGGAGGTCAATGCCTCAAACCCTGTGTGAGGAAGGGAACAAAACAGCCCTGTATAAGAACAGGCCAAATGGGGATCACAGGTGGCAGGAATGGACTACATCTATATGGAAATGAGCTCACTGTTCTCAGCGTCCCACTGCAGACGCTGCTAATTTGCTTTTTTTCACATGGAAGAAGAATTGTAGGGTGGATCTCACGAACATTGAGATTGTCCTGGTCAAAATATGAATTAAATAAATAAATTTGTTTATTTAGGACTATTGGGATTTTTGTACTTTTATTTTAGAATTATGGGAGGATGTTTATTTTTGTTGTAGTTGTTGCTTAGTGACATTATTTTCATGACAGTTTAAGCACATTTCCTTGCTGTAATATGTCCACATGTTTTTTTTTGTTTTGTTTTGTTTCTCCAAATACTCCCATTATGTGTAAATACTGTAAATTTAAATTGCATAAATGAAATTACTTCTAAATTAACAAAATGGTACTAAAATATTATATAAATATAGTCAAATAAAAATTAGTCAAGAGCTACTTTAAAAATAATGAACGAATTGTGTTAGTTTTTATGGAAAGTAATCTTGCGTTACTTTTTTTTCTGAATACTGAATCTGTTTTTGGCCTAGTGAGATGAGTAAATGCTCACATTGAGTGTAGAGCTACAATAAACAAAAAATTTACCAACAAATTTGAAAGTAATTAGTTTCTTTAGTTACTTGAAAAAAAGTAATCTGATTACATAAGCCACGTTTCTTGTAATGCATTACCCCCAACACTGGCCAAGACCATGACTAATTATTTGCAATATATAGTTTTTTTTATATAATAGTATTATACTTTTTTTTTTTTTAGCAAAATAAAGGATAAATGAAGTAATCTCCTCACTTTTCAACAAGAACCTCTTTCAGAGACACATTACAAATGAAACGAGCACTGCTGTTGGCTCACATTTTTCACCCTTGTTGAGTAAAAGCTTTCTCCTGAGATTTTGCAATCATTTTCAAGTGTTTATCCTTCAGAAACAAACAGCGCATAAGATAAATGTTCGATTTCAGCTCAAACTTATTATGTACAAAAACCCATAATTTCCCGAGAGCCATGGTTCCAGGAATGAACACCAGCAGACGTTCATGGGCAGTTACAGAAAGCCTGTTTCATTACGTCAAATCGGATGTTTGCTTGACACAATCCAACAAACACGAGAACATGGTGAACTGGTGATAAGAGGGGGCCAAACATTTGTTTGCCTGATGGCTGGGACGTTTTAGCATTATGGCTGCTTTAGTTTGCAAATACGAAAATAGAACGAATAAGACAACGCCTATAAATCAATGACATATAAGAGTGTCCATGATGGAAAGAAAAGGAAAAATCTAGTTTAAGGACCTTCCAAATTCTTGGCAAACTCTGTATTCACGGTTCCATATGATTAAAAAGAAGAAATAAAACCCTTCAGTTTAAAATGTCATATGGTGTTCATTTTTTTTAACAAAAACAATGAATTACACACTTGAACAATGAACTAATCTTGCCTTGTCATAAAAAGTCAAATTACCCAATGGTGTACTAATACCTCTGCCAATTATCTGACTTATCATCCAGGGTTCACATGGGTGCTTGAAATCCTTGTAAGCTTGTGAATCTGAGAAAAAAAATTCAAGGCCTTGGAAAGTACATGTATGGAAGCTTGTTTCCGCCACTGAATAAATAAAAAATATAAAATAATTGCGAATTTTTATCTCACAATTGCGAGATATGAAGTCAGAATTGTGAGAAATAAAGTCACAATTGCGAGATATAAAGTGGCAATTCTGAGAAAAAAAGTTGCAATTGCGAGATATAAAGTCGCAATTCTGAGAAATAAAGTCGCAATTCAGAGAAATAGTCGCAATTGCGAGATATAAAACCGCAATTCTGAGAAATAAAGCCGCAATTCTGAGAAATAAAGTCGCAATTCTGAGAAATAGTCGCAATTGCGAGATATAAAGTGGCAATTCTAAGAAATAAAGTCGCAATTGCGAGATATAAAGTCGCAATTCTGAGAAATAAAGTCGCAATTGCGAGATATAAAGTCGCAATTCTGAGAAAAAGTCACAATTCTGAGAAATAAAGTCGCAATTCTGAGAAATAAAGTCGCAATTGCGAGATATAAAGTCCCAATTCTGAGAAAAAGTCACAATTCGGAGAAATAAAGTCGCAATTCTGAGAAATAAAGTCGCAATTGCGAGATATAAAGTCGCAATTCTGAGAAAAAGTCACAATTCTGAGAAATAAAGTCGCAATTCTGAGAAATAAAGTCGCAATTGCAAGATATAGAGTCGCAATTCTGAGAAATAAAGTCGCAATTGCGAGATATAAAGTCGCAATTCTGAGAAAAAGTCACAATTCTGAGAAATAAAGTCGCAATTCTGAGAAATAAAGTCGCAATTGCGAGATATAAAGTCGCAATTCTGAGAAAAAGTCACAATTCTGAGAAATAAAGTCGCAATTCTGAGAAATAAAGTCGCAATTCTGAGAAATAAAGTCGCAATTGCAAGATATAGAGTCGCAATTCTGAGAAATAGTCGCAATTGCAAGATATAGAGTCGCAATTCTGAGAAATAAAGTCGCAATTCTGAGAAATAAAGTCGCAATTGCGAGATATAAAGTCGCAATTCTGAGAAAAAGTCACAATTCTGAGAAATAAAGTCGCAATTCTGAGAAATAAAGTCGCAATTCTGAGAAATAAAGTCACAATTGCAAGATATAAAGTCGCAATTCTGAGAAATAAAGTCGCAATTCTGAGAAATAAAGTCGCAATTGCGAGATATAAAGTCGCAATTCTGAGAAAAAGTCACAATTCTGAGAAATAAAGTCGCAATTCTGAGAAATAAAGTCGCAATTGCGAGATATAAAGTCGCAAATCTCGCAATTCTGAGAAATAGTCGCAATTCTGAGAAATAAAGTCGCAATTCTGAGAAATAAAGTCGCAATTGCGAGATATAAAGTTGCAAATCAGAGAAATAAAGTAAAAATTCTGAGACATAAAGTCGCAATTCTGACTTTATATCACGCAATTCTAACTTTACACAATACTGTCCCTTTAAGAGACGTATTGACCTGTTTCTGCATATTAAATGTGTTATATAACTTTTCAAAGTTTTTGAATATTATAGTGAAGCAGTTAAAACATTTTTTTTAATCAAAATTAATAATAATAATAATAATAATAGAAGATTGTCAAACTACCAAAAAATTCCCTGTTTTTGTGAGGCCTTTTTCTGTATTATGATATCAGGACAGATATCGTTTTTGGTTTTATGCACAAGTTAAGTTTAAAAAAACAAGTGTATCAAGTGATTTTTAAAAATTTCAACATTGTCAATAAATGCATAGACATTGACATATTTTAAGTGTGACAGGACTTTGTGGGGTCCAACATTGTCTCCTAAACGTTTCTAAAGGAGTCCATGCTGGAGTGAGTTCACACCACCCCTAAACAAACCCCATAAAGGAAGCCGTATATGTCTGCATGCGATTCTCAAGTAGGATTAGTTCACTATGAGAGCTGAAAGAAAGTCCCATGTACTCCATTTCCTGGGCTCCGGGACAAGTGCAGGTGGCTGAGGGGTTCGGATTACACCCCGATGAAACCCTCTGGTCCCTCCTTTCCCCTCCAGCCCCCCTTTACCCAGCGAGCCGAACCTCTCCATGATCTGAGAATTCCTGCAAACTACTCCTAATTCTTCTGACAGATGGACACACTTAATCTGCAGCGGTAAGTGCTACAACCTGTGAACAGGCAACTAGGACAGCCACCTGTCAGGACCCCTGTCACATGATAGGCACCGCATGGCACACAGCTAAGCTATTGCTGCAGAAATATGCTTGGGATTTAAAAAAAATAAAGTTTTACACATTTGAAAAGTGTTAAACAGTAAACAAGGCAGTTGATAGACATCTCTAGACAATTTTCAGTAATAAATGCCATTTTGAGATTACTGATTTTACATCTCGCAATTCTGACTTTATATCTCGCAATTCTAACTTTATATCTCACAATTCTAACTTTATATCTCACAATTCTGACTTTATATCACGCAATTCTGACTTTATATCTCGCAATTCTGACTTTATATCTCGCAATTCTGACATTACATCTCGCAATTCTGACTTTACATCTCGCAATTCTGACTTTACATCTCGCAATTCTGACTTTACATCACACAATTCTGACATTACATCTCGCAATTCTGACTTTATATCTCGCAATTCTAACTTTATATCTCACAATTCTAACTTTATATCTCACAATTCTGACTTTATATCACGCAATTCTGACTGACTTTATATCTCGCAATTCTGACTTTACATCTCGCAATTCTGACTTTACATCACACAATTCTGACTTTACATCTCGCAATTCTGACTTTACATCTCACAATTCTGACATTACATCTCGCAATTCTGACATTACATCTCGCAATTCTGACTTTATATCTCACAATTCTAACTTTATATCTCACAATTCTAACTTTATATCACGCAATTCTGACTTTATATCTCACAATTCTGACTTTATATCTCGCAATTCTGACTTTATATCACGCAATTCTGACATTACATCTCGCAATTCTGACTTTACATCTCGCAATTCTGACTTTACATCTCGCAATTCTGACTTTACATCTCGCAATTCTGACTTTACATCACGCAATTCTGACTTTACATCTCGCAATTCTGACTTTACATCTCGCAATTCTGACTTTACATCTCGCAATTCTGACTTTACATCACGCAATTCTGACTTTACATCACGCAATTCTGACTTTACATCTCGCAATTCTGACTTTACATCACGCAATTCTGACTTTACATCACGCAATTCTGACTTTACATCACGCAATTCTGACTTTACATCACGCAATTCTGACTTTACATCACGCAATTCTGACTTTACATCTCGTAATTCTGACTTTACATCTCGTAATTCTGACTTTACATCTCGCAATTCTGACTTTACATCTCGCAATTCTTACTTTATATCTCACAATTCTTACTTTATATCTCACAATTCTGACTTTACATCTCGCAATTCTGACTTTACATCTCGCAATTCTGACTTTACATCTCGCAATTCTTACTTTATATCACACAATTCTGACTTTACATCACACAATTCTGACTTTACATCACGCAATTCTGACTTTACATCTCGTAATTCTGACTTTACATCACGCAATTCTGACTTTACATCACGCAATTCTGACTTTACATCTCGCAATTCTGACTTTACATCACGCAATTCTGACTTTACATCACGCAATTCTGACTTTACATCACGCAATTCTGACTTTACATCTCGTAATTCTGACTTTACATCTCGTAATTCTGACTTTACATCTCGCAATTCTGACTTTACATCTCGCAATTCTTACTTTATATCTCACAATTCTGACTTTACATCTCGCAATTCTGACTTTACATCACGCAATTCTGACTTTACATCTCGTAATTCTGACTTTACATCTCGCAATTCTGACTTTATATCTCACAATTCTGACTTTACATCTCGCAATTCTGACTTTACATCACGCAATTCTGACTTTACATCTCGTAATTCTGACTTTACATCTCGCAATTCTGACTTTATATCTCGCAATTCTGACTTTACATCTCGCAATTCTGACTTTACATCTCGCAATTCTTACTTTATATCACACAATTCTGACTTTACATCACGCAATTCTGACTTTACATCTCGTAATTCTGACTTTATATCTCACAATTCTGACTTTATATCTCACAATTCTGACTTTACATCTCGTAATTCTGACTTTACATCTCGCAATTCTGACTTTATATCTCGCAATTCTGACTTTATATCTTGCAATTCTGACTTCTTTTTTTTATTCAGTGGCGGAAACAAGCTTCCATAGATTTCTTTCTTTTCTCTCTCTTTTTTTTACAGTGATTCATTCAGAGCCGATTCAAAATGACACATCTCTAACTTCACCCAGAAAAGGAGGTGTTTCCCACAGCATGCCAACAGATGGATATCATTTTGATAGTTTAAGTGTCCGAGGAAGCAGAGACGCATAAGAACCCATAGACCAGACAACAGGTGAGCGGTTACGGTCAGCCGGCAAATCCTACTGATATTCTAACCTATTGAACTTTCCCAGAACAGCATTCCCCTGTAGACACACATTATTGCATTGCAGGACCTGTTCCGTGCGCTTTGATCCACTCGATGTGAAGCAGATCTGTGGCGGTGGCCTGAACAGTGAGATAATGAAAGCAGGCTGGCTGGGAGAGAACTGACCCAGGACAATGCTTCTCTTTCAGGCTGCTGGCATGAGCTGTTGGAGACTTGTACTATACAGTGAGTAAAGTGACTTTCCAGCTTCAGCACCTTTAGCTGATAAAGCAGAGTGCAAACAAGAATCTGCTTCCTTTTTGGTTCAGAAAGATCTTTTCCTGGGTAACTGCTGGGTAATGATGGAAAAATTATGGAGCATTTGAAAACAAGTGTGTTCACATTTTCTGAAGTTAAAGTAAGTTTCCTGCAGGGACTCTTCATTGTACATACAACATGACAATAATGCAACGCTTAAAGGAGTAGTTCACTTTCGAAAAAGCTTTTTCTGATAATTTACTCTCCCCCGTGTCATCCAAGAAGATGTTCATGTCTTTCTTTCTTCAGTCGAAAAAGAAATTAAGGTTTTTGATGAAAACATTCCAGGATTTTCTCCATATAATAGACTTCAATGGGGTCCAAAAGACAGTTTCAGTGCAAACTGTTCAAAGGGCTTTAAACGACACCAGACGATGAATGAGGGTCTTATCAAGCGAAACGATCGCTCATTTAATAAATAAATAACAAAGTTTAAGTTTTATAAGCTCAAATGCTCGCCTTGCTCTGTTCTGTGATGCGCGTTCGTGACTCTCCTGTTATCAAAATGAACGAATCTTTTTTCGAGTCATGACTAGAAGGGTCCTTGATAAGACCCTTATTCATCGTCTGTAATCGTTTAAAGCCCTTTGAACAGTTTGTAGTTTGCACTGAAACTCTCTTTGGGAACCTTGAAACGTTTGGACCCCATTGAAGTCCATTATATGGAGAAAATACCGGAATGTTTTCATCAAAAACCTTAATTTCTGTTCGACTGAAGAAAGAAAGACATGGACATCTTGGATGACACGGGGGTGAGTAAATTATCAGCAAATTTTTTTTTTACTCCTTTAATATCCTACTAATATGATAAACTAAAGTTTTTGGCTCATCTCACACACTGTTTTAATAGGGTATAACCTGATCTGTAATAATAGGGAAGTGTACGTCACTGAAATGAATCCGTAAAGGAATCTGAACCTGCGAGTTGAATGGACCCAAACAATTCGAGTCATGTGAATCAATATCCCACAACAGCTTCAAATGTGGCTGATCCACATCCTGAACTCAAGGATCCAAACGCATTTGTTTGCTTCATAAGCTGGATGTTGCGCTCAAGTTGCACTTTTGTTTTGGGTGGGTGGGGTGAAACAAAAGGCTCGGCTTCGGCTTAGCCTTCCTTCGGACTTAAGGAGGAAGGATCTTTCACTTTCCTGCTTGTAATAAGTGACTTCTCCTGTTCCATGCGCACAATGGTCACTCTGTTGGGCCTTTTTTAAAGGCGTTGAGCCTGCACGGTTCGGCAGCCCTCCCTGCCGTTTGCTTAGCCACCCAAACGCCCGGCGCAAGGCAAACAGAGCCAGCCTCCGCCATGCCCCGTCCTGACTCTAAGAGGCTTATGTCCTCACCCAGGGGTGGTAGGAAGCACAGGATGAATGGATGAAGGAGGGAGGGGCAGGAAGGAGGAAGGCCCAATCAGCCGTTACCGCTGAGATCAGATTCAGATTCGAAAGATTCGAAACTCCCCTCCGTGAACTATTTGGTCGACTTTCAAACAAGAGATGAGGAAATAGCCGAATGCCGGTGATGTCACGCTTTACTGGAGATGAAAACATCTCCTCTTTTTGTGCTCTAGGTTTTTTTGGCGATGCAGGAGGATCCATAATTATTTGCTAATCTGGGAGGAAGTGCTGTTTGCATGAGTACATAGAGATAGAGGAGAAGGATGGGTCTATTAAATAAGACCCCATTCAGTGACTGAATGAGAATGGAGGGATGAATAGTTCCTCGAACAGATGAATACAAGCACGTTGCTTTGCACAATGACAAGACCACAGGGACCTTTCTTTGAAATCGGGAGTTAATCTGGAAAATTCCTGGCGGCAGGATCCCGATGCACGGCGCACACTGGCACAACGTCAGTTAAAGGCCATTAACAAAGTTTTACAGCCTTAATGCGGGAGAGATGAATACAGCCAGCACGTTATAGGCCAGTCTCGCTTCCGTTTCATCTCAGGAGTGGCTTGTTTTTTTTGTCCTATCTAGTAAATGATTTCAAATGACATAAAAATGCTATTCCCACATACAATAATTTGAAAACACAATCCTCTATGATGTTTTTAGTTCCTTTCATAAAAGGTCAGGATTGCATAGATGTCTTGTTATTAAATGAACGAAGTCTTGAAACGAACATCTTATGAAATGCTCGTTCGTTAGTCTCCTGTTCGAACTCGTTTATCAAACGAACGAATCTTTTTTCGTGTCATTTGGTTCATTCAACGAACGAAATGAACGAGTTGACTGTGAAAAAGATTTGTTCATTTTGATGAACGAGTTCGAACAGGAGAGTCGAACAAGGAGAGCATTTGAGCTTATAAAACTTAAACTTTGTTATTTATTTATTAAATGAGCGATCGTTTCGCTTGATAAGACCCTTATTCATCGTCTGGAATTGTTTAAAGCCCTTTGAACAGTTTGCACTGAAACTCTCATTTGGACCTTGAACCGTTTGGTTCCCATTGAAGTCCATTATATGGAGAAAGTCAAAAACCTTAATTTCTTTTCGACTGAAGAAAGAAAGACATGGACATCTTGGATGACACGGGGGTGAGTAAATTATCAGCAAAAGTTTTTTTAAAAGTGAACTACTCCTTTAATAATTGAGTTTTTGGATAAGGAACATCCACCAAAGACTCAATTTTTGCAAGGAAAGATGGGTCATCATGGCTCATCAATTGGTGCTAACTTGTCAAACCATTCAAAAATCACATTTGTCAATGCTAGATCGCAAAGAATTCTACCATACATAATATTGTGAACAGCAAGGCAGTAAACCTCTGTAATGCATGACCTCAGATGGCAATGCATGAGAAACCGTCATGTGTTCATTATAGCCACATGGTTTGAAGGTATGAGGAAAATATACGCCTTTTTACTTGATAGTTACACCATAGGACATTTTTCAAAATCATATGAATTGAACATGAATAAAAAATGTATTTTTCTCTTAAATGAACTGTCTCAAGACAGCACCATTTCCAATACCAGTTAAGCACTTCCTCTACAGGAAGAGGAGGAATGCTGTGCTCCAATGTAAACACCAATATACGTAAATGGCACGGTTCGGAACTGTGATTCAGATCAACCGAACACAAGACTCATTCTTCATTGTGCAACGGTGGCTAACCTTTTTGTGCCATAAGCCAGGAAATCCTGGGTTGGCGTGCCGGTTTGGCTACCAGTCCATTGTCTAAACCCAGCATCAGAGACTCCATTGAAGTTCTCCATCCAGCTGTATAATTGGGTAGAGACGGGACCCCCTCTAAAAACAAGATATCGCCCCACTCAGCCGGGTTACAGCGAGCCGAAGGTGTAAGCTTGTTCGCTTCCCGCCTCTTCCTTCTCCGGACTCCAGTTTCCTGCCTGGAGCGATTCATGCGTTTCATGGTGCATTTCGCCACGTTGGCCGCATGCATGCGAATCCCTCCAGGAGAGGACATGTTTCCTCAGGAAGGGATTTACTGGATAATCTTCACTGGCCAAAAGCAACAACAACAAAAAAACTGCAGGAATATGTAATTGTTAGAAGTTGACCAGCGGAGGAATCCGGGGTTTGGAATGGACGAGAATCCAAAGCCACTGCCAATTGCTTTCTGTGGACAAACTAAACATCCCAGCGATCCATGTCCAGATCTTTTCTGGGAACTTTTATTGTTCCATAGAGTTCAATGTTTCAAAAACACGCGTTCTATAGCACGCAAAGCAGTCTATTACTCTAATAAGCTTTAGAATTACATTGAAGAACTGTCTGTCAAAAGTTACATATTCCATGCATTGTTTATATAGAATAATTACAGCCGATTTATCAATAATAGAAGTGTGAGTGGGGAAAGCAAGAGACCTGATATTTGGGATTCCAGCTTGAAAATTACAAAGTGAGGATGGTACCGGCATACCCCTGACTGATCTGACCAAAGAAACTGCTAAAAACCCAGTGAGTGACTTTGGAAAAGCCTTCAGTTACAGTTATGTGAATAAGTTTTGACCCCCATGCTAAAGTTGCCTAAAAAGAGGAATAAAAAATCATCTTTTGGATATTGATCTTAATGCCTTAATTATTCTTTGTGAATGAATAATGCATCATAAATAAATAAATGTTTTTCCTTAACATACAGGGTGCATAAGTCAGGGCACCCCTATGTTAAATTCCCATAGAGTTAGGAAGATTTTTATTTTTAAAAGCCAGTTATTTCATGGATCCAGGATAATATGCATCCTGATAAAGTTCCCTTGGCCTTTGGGATTAAAATATCCCCACATCATCATCACACACCTTCCACCACACTGAGAGATTGGCATGGTTTTACTTCAGTTAGCCTAATAGCTGGTTTGATTTGCATTGAAAGATGATCTTATGGAAAGTACCCCATGCCAATCTCTAGGTGTGGTGGAAGGTGTGTGATGATGATGTGGGGATATTTTAATCCCAAAGGCCAAGGGAACTTTATCAGGATGCATATTATCCTGGATCCATGAAATAACTGGCTTTTAAAAATAAAAATCTTCCTAACTCTATGGGAATTTAACATAGGGGTGTCCTGACTTATGCACCCTGTATTTTAAGGAAAAACATTTATTTATTTATGACACATTATTCATTCACAAAGAAAATTGGTGTCCTTAAACTAGTAACCTGACTCGCGCAGAGGGAGAAATAAACGAATAGTTGAAATAAAGTCGTTATTTTTGTGCGCAAAAAGTGTTCTCGTCATTTGCTAAAGTTAAGATTGAGCCCCTGTAGTCACTTGGACTATTTTAATGATGTCTTTAATGACTTTTCGAGTCAAGAAGCCTATGGACTGTATGCAGGAGCGATCTTAATATCTTAAATATCTTAATTTGTGTTACGAAGATGAACGGGGTTGAACAACATGAGGGTGAGTAAATACTGACAGAATTTTTATTTTTGGGTGAACTAACCCTTTAAACTTGTGGCGAATTTTTATTTTTTTAAAATTTGCTCTTGGTGTGAATA